TAGAAATACATTTCTCGCTACATTAGGATCCGGTTAAATGAGGTGGTTGTTATGTAATCTGTTTTTTGCAAATAAAGTAATATTATATGTCATAAATATATTGACGTACGTGAGTCACGCTCGCGAGTACGCTAGTTCGAGATTAGTCGTCTCGGGATATCGGGATATATTAGGACCACAGGTTAAGGGGAAATATCCAAATTAATAAATTCATATACATTAACTGAGAAGAAGTGCGACTGACTCTTGTTAAGTAATAATTTAATTAAAAATATTTCCATTCCACATTTTCTTTTTCTTGCAGATCTCAAGCAGCAACGCCACACAAGTACAAAAAGGGCGACGTTGTATCCACACCCACTGGTATTCGTAAGAAGTTTAACGGGAAGCAGTGGAGGCGGCTTTGTTCAAAGGACGGCTGCACAAAGGAGAGTCAGCGCCGCGGCTTTTGTTCCCGCCATCTATCATTGCGAGGTGTACCTAGGTCCTCCAACACGCCGCTGGCGCAGGGAGCAACACATACGCCCCAACAGAGGTTTTCAAATATTTTTCCTTTTGTTGCTTATTTTGACCCACTTTTAAAAGGAGTATCGGTTAGGCTCGTTGTGTTGAGTAGAAATATATAATAACTAATATTATATATTTAGGATTCCAAGCAGGAAGCTATGCAGTATATGTAGGTTTGTATGTTAGTCCTGAAGTTTCTTGGAAAGTAAAAGTTCTATCGGGATGATCTGATTTTGATTTGGTATGGTAATTAAAATAATAACTGACTAAGTTATACTGACATTATATGATATAAATTGGACATGACAAAACTACTGTTTAATTAGTTTTCAACGCATCGGTTTAATATTTTTTAAATACTTTTACTATGGTAGCCATAAGAATCCTAAGACTATTTAATAGTTATTAATAATCTATTTAATAGTTATTAATAATTACTTTATTCACGGTAAACAGAGGTGGAAAGTGATTTTAAGCGTAGATGTACATGAAAATAAAGGTCATGGTCGTAGATATCAATCGAATCTTCTATTAATATGTTTAATATGTTAGGGTAGTAAGTTAATTGATTACATACCAAGTTTTATTGAATGCTTTTATATGCTGATTTATTAAAACGCTTATAATACATCGATCCTGACCCAACTACGCATACGGACTCGTCTGTCTACCATACGCCTACAGCTAATTGTATCTTATTTTGGCCATACAATGCGCAGAGGCGATGACTTGGAGAAACTCATCGTGGTTGGTAATAATGAAAGCAAAAGATCACATGGCCGTTCACCAACCAGATGGACCGAGATGAAAGACTCATCATCCTCAAAACTTTACACTGTCATAAGAGATGCGCTGGCCGAAACCAGTGGAAGCAGATAGTCCGCTCCAGACGCTTTATTGCTACGCTCATACATAAGCTGCCGATCAAACCGAGTGGTACTTGTTGCACACTCCCTCAAGAGGGGTGAGCTTTGGCCCGTTCGGGTGGTGTATAAGTTTCGCACCCTGCTGATACAGGGTGGTACGGGGTTGGGCGTATAGCCCTTGATGGGGGCCGCAGCGCGCGATGAGACGTAGGCTCTACTCGCTGCGCGCAGCCGATTTTTTTTTGCCGATCAAAGGGAGATAGTACGTTTATAAATATACTTTAATCGTATTTCAGAAGCAGCAGTAAATCATTGTCGTCAAGTGGTACCGGGATCGAAGGGGATGAAACTTCTCGTGAGTCAGACACAACTCCACCTAACTATCGCGTTGCGGGGCGCTTTGATCCCGACGAAACCGAGGCTGCTAATATGCTGGGTGAGTTTTTTTACAATACTTCCTAAAATAAGAGCCGTGTTGGACTTGAGTTATGAGTCGACGGAGTCGTTTCATTACGTGCCACATTTATAACAGTAAAACTCTTTATTTATCTCGATGCCTCATTAATAACAATCTTTAATTAACCATTGACGTATAGTCATATATTGTCTGTATTAAAAGTATAAGAAATTATCTTATTTTTTGTACTGTTAATGATACAGCCAACTCCTTAACAAATTCATATCATATTGAATTGAATGATAACAACGTCAACTGATTTACCAATCACGCGATCGATGCGTCCGCCGCGCACCACCGCCACCTTCCCCTCCCAGTGATACCCAAAAATCGCTTCTGAGCAGGCAAGGACATTTGTTCAAGATGTTTGCCGATATCTGTAGCAAATAATTATTAATTGGCATAACTCCTATGCTGGGTCTCTTTCCGTTATATACGGAAGGATATAAAGCTTGCATTTGTGACCGACACACGGACCAATTTTGCCTCGTTTAGATTTAATTATATTAAGTTTTAAACCTATCATTTCCGAATAATAATAATATTTTATTTATAGTTAAAATGTTGTCTGTTCAGTTTCCCTGGGCAGCTCTCGCTCCGGCAGTCCGGGAGCGTCACCAGTAGGCGATAACGTTTTCGTCCCCATTTCCTCACCACAACCGCCTGCAGCGCCGCCACACCATCTTATACGGTAATGTATTTATACACTTTTACACGATTGAAACAAGGCAAATTATTTAGTATTAATTAGTCGACGTTTTGAATTAATACAAAAATTATTTTTCATAAATTTCATGTTTTATTCTTCTTTTATTGCATAAATAAAACAATTATTATTTTAACGTAATAAACTGAGTTATTATAATTATCTAATTTTAAAGTTTCATAACCATTTAGAGCCGTTACAAAGTCTTAAAACAATTTCTACAGTTACTCGTTATAAGTCTAAAAAGTTATGATTGTATGCGTGCAATTATTACATATTTTCTAAGATTATAATTTTTTTCTTAGGCCCGAGTTGGTGCGTCCAGGCAGAATGAGTTCGCCAGCCGGTATTGCTACTAGTGTTATCAGACTATCTCCAGCCCCTACTTACCATTATCAATATCAGGTAATTTAAATGTATTTATCGAGTTTTATAATATAGTAACATAATGGATATCAATGCGTTATATATAATAAGGTAGACACATCATTATTTTTACTTTTTATATCTTCAACATAAGATTTATTGTAAATTATGCTTTGAAGTTTCATTCCGTAGAATTCTGACATTTCATAAGTGTTGCTACTAAAATAGTTCTCCACCGAAAAGGGACAAATTTGACTTATTTGCTATAAAAAATGCTACGTATTTTTTATGTTTTACCTACAAAAAGGTTAATCTAAATGTTTGCTTACTCAAGAACACTTACTTATACATACATTTATTCTTTAGCTGGCATCACTGCCTCATAATTCCAGGTTTAGTAAACCTTTAAAAAAAAAAATGTTATCTTTACTTGTGTGTTTTTTACTGTTTGTGATGAAAAGGGACGTAATTATCACTCGCCGTTAAACCACTTTTAATGTGGAGCACCGCACTCAATGAAATGAATACATTCACTCTCAAATAAAATGTATCTTCAAACTCCTTTTGAAATTGAAAAAATGTGCCCGGCCAAAAAGGTTTGCCATCTCTGACACGTCAAAAAAGGATAGCTGTCACAATTCTATGGAATTAAAAATCAGAGTATATAGGGGAAGATCGTTACCCTTCGTACGCGGGGCACATTCATACAGTCAAAATAAAACTTGAACGAAACAAAGTACAGTCTTGTTTTTGTATGTGTGCATGAGTCGAGGTACGAACTATACATCAACGAAGTTTGGTGAAATTCGCACCGATGAGAGTGAAGCTTCAGGCATGGACGTGTTTTCGCGCTCGGTAAGTAATTTTTTGATCAATGTTTTTTGCTCTTGTTACCGTAGATAAAATAAGTTTTCGTGTAGAGTATTCTATCAGTAACTAGCAAAATATACTTAAGATACGTCTCCAATACTTAATTTATGACGTTTTCCTTTTAATATTAAAATAAGTTATATTTTGTTGTTATTCAGTTAGTGGGGTACTTTCGGACAGCACTAGATGGGGCACATTTGAACGAATTGTACAACTAAATTTGTATGAAAATATTTTGTCGACACGAACTGTCATTTTCATACAAATTAAGTTTTCGACTTGCTACATACAAATAATAATAAGGCATCTTGACTAAACCCTCTGGTAGGTAGGAAAGATTGTATTAGTGTGCTAATTGCTAATATTTGCATTAACTTTGTCCTGTGTTGCTATCATTGCTATCGTCTATGTAAATATATATTAATACCTATTTTTATTATCTTTATTAAGGTTGATTTTGATGCCTGTGAACCAGATGCTTTGAATAATTTACCAATCCATCAAATAATCCTTCGAAGTCAGTTTTGACACCAGAAGCGTTTCGACCCTATCCGCATGTTGTAAGAAGTAATAAAACAAAAAAAATGACGACGACGGCCAGGAAAACCACGAATTTATACTGCCACCCGAAAATAAGAAGTGCTAATCCGCACCAAAGATTAAAAAATGTGATTCTAAATTTAAGATACCTAACTAATTAATGCTAAAAGCTATGTAATTTTTGTTCACTATAAGAAAAGTATTTTATTTTTTGTTTAATAGAAGTTAAATCTTTATTTTTGTGTTTAATTTCATTGCTAATAAATGAATTTTGATTTATACGTGTCGTTTTAATCGCACGTACGGAACTACCCCACAGCGTACGAAGGTACCTCCAACACTGTACGAAGGTGCCCCGTGAATGGGGCAGATTCGTACGTTTCCCAGATTTAGTTTAAATCATAATTATGGTTGAACCATAAGATGAAATCATTTGTCATTTTTTTATATGAATCTCAGATAGTAGGACTATAAATTTAAGCTTGCAGATGATTGATTAATGGAAAAAGAAAAAAATTAAAAATTAAATGTGAAAACCGTACGAAGGGTCCCGACCTTCCCCTATATATAAATAATTTTAAGACTAACGTAGGTACATAAGCTTGTGTCGCTTGTTTATTTCCAAGTGATTTATAGTAATTATATGAATTAAGAAGACACAATTCAGTAATCTCTCTTAATTTTGTATGTCAACCATTTATGCGTTTAACCCCAACCGTTATTAATTTTTAATTTTTAACCATCACAATACGCCGATACAAAAGTATATTTTGTCCAAAATACTGTTTGACTCAATGCACTAATGTCCCTTTATTCACGAGAATTTCAATAAAAAATAAATCTTGCTAAAACAATGGTGTAGGCGCTAAACCTACTTTAGCTGATATTTAATGAATAAATCCTTATAAAACTTATTTCAGGAGCGGAATGGCCCAATTCAATCCACCCAATCGAATATAATAAGTATACAGTCATCCGGGATCAATATACCCAGCAGTATACAGTCAAACTTCACACCGCCCCTGAATTCGACCCCGAATCACTCCATTTCCATTAGTATGAACCAAAGTTTGTCAAATATAAGAAAAGATGAACCACACAATTTGGTCTTGCAAAGAAGTATTCCGGCAAATGGCATGGATATAGACATGTATCGGGGTCAACATTTGAGGAATGGATTGCATGATATTCAGGTAAATCTAATATATAAAATTCTCGTGTCGCAATGTTCGTTCCCGTATTCCTCCGAAACGGCTCGACCGATTCTTATGAAACTTTTTATGCATATTAAGTAAGGGAACGTTCAAGGATTACGTCACGCAATTTTTGGAGATTATCGCCCCCCGGTGTAACTCGCCGTTACGTTTTTCTGTACCGTAACCAAGTATTGTAAAACGTAACAATAACGCGTAATTCAATCCCCGCACCGCATCGTAACGTCTTACAAAAGGACCCCCCTCCCAAAATTCGTTACGTAATACTTGAACGCTCCCTAAGTCTGAGAATCGGCTACTATCTATCTTCAAACCCCTAAGTGACAAGGGGTGTCCACCACAATATTTTTTTTTACACTATTTTTTTTGTTTTTATTTTTTTATGATACAGCATACAAAAATACATGCAACCCCTAATCTTCACCCTCTACGATCAAGCCCCATTTTTTATTATTGAAGATAGTTATTTTAATTGAACAAGAAAAATGTTTCCAAAATTTTTTTTTATAAAGCACTAACAATTTTTAATGTGGCTACGTAAAGCTAGAAACAGAAAAGAGTGGATGCTCTTAGAGGAGGCCTATGTCTAAGGACAAGCTGTATAACAGAAATCAACCGGCTTGCCGATTAAGTTTTGGTGTTATTTTTTTACTCTTGTTTGTTAATTTATTAGTTCTTCACACTTTTTTATGTACTAGTCAAAGTAATTACAACAATAAAGCCTTTAATTATTATTAAAAAAAAATTGTATTTAAGTAAATTGTAATTAAGGCATCGAACAGCTGTTTTTAAGTATCTGTTTCATTCGTATTTATTTGATATCAAGCCAAGCTCACAAATTCGAAACAATAATTGTTTCACCGAGAATCGAACACAAGACGTTTAGCAGAGATAGTTGTGTGTAATTAAAATAAATTCGAATTTGATTTTTATTCTTCATTGAGAAAGATTCATAATTAAAATAATTAATTAATTATTGACTGTTTTATTTTTCTTTTGGAAATATTTACGCTATTGTGGTGTTACGTATAAAATAATTATGTTAATCATAATCGAACTTAAAAGTGAATTTGATTTCAGTATCGACGCGAAGAGATGACGTCACCGGGTAACCATGAAAATTTTCAGAATAGACGAGTCTCGGAGTATGACGACGACGACCACTCCGTCCCACAAACGGATGGTCACCGTGCTGACCCACGTCCCATAGAACTCTCCGAGGCTCGAATGGACGAGAAGAGAATTGTCAAACCGGCCCCTTTACAGGCGCGTCTCGTGTCCCTTTTGGACACAGATTCAAGGGATTCGGTGAAACGTTACTACGTGATACCACAGAATAGTATCGAAAAGAAAATCGTGCTGATTAAGAACGAGCCGACGGAAACTATGCAAGTAAGTTGTAATTTTTATTTTTATTGTTCAACAAACAGTCTTACCTCTTTCATGCTTATTTTCCCATCCCTGGTCTGTTCCTTCCTGTTTCGGACTTTTAAGAATTATAGGTATATGACAAGTTCATCCTGACTTAACCTCGGTTCTTAATTTAAAAAAAGAGGAAATCTTAATTTAAAAAAGCATTTTTGTATAGAACTAACATTTCCTAGATTTGATGGAACCATATGTAAATATGGTTTTAATTGATGACAGTTCGCACTTATATTTAATATGGAGTTGATGTCGTGCAGTGCTGATGCGCGATAGGCGATGGTTATCGTACTTAGCATGCTATGAGTCATCATAACTCCAACCCGACTAGGTTCACTAGCTCTTGGTCTATAAGAATTGCCTCTAAATCAGGCTGTCTTCTTAAACAATAAAGATGTTTAGACATAGTCCATACAACCAGATATACTGTTAAGTCATGTCTGGTTACAGATAGATCACAAAGCGCATCAGCTAGCAATGCCGCTTAACGAGCCCGAGTCCGAACCAAGGGGACTAGACAATGGCGACCATGTAAGTATTGCAGTATTTTTGTGATTTCTTTAGGGAGCGTTCAAGTATTACGTCACGCAATTTTTGGAGATTATTGCTGACCCCCCATGTAACGCGCCGTAACGTTTTTCTGTACCCCTTAAGTATAGTATATTTCCACCCCCGCGCGGCGTCGAAAGTTACAATTGTCCCCCTCCCAAAGAGCTTTGCTTACTTTTGCTGACAAGAGGAATAAATTGCAGTAAATCTGCTCACGTAATACTTGAACTTAGGATAAAACAGCGCTAAAACACTAATTTAATTTATAATTCAAATTTTACGTTTAACCATTGTTGTTTGACCCGTATTAAATGCTTTTTCGATTATATTTAATTTTTATAATATTTAAATTTTATTTATTATATTTTTATATGCAGGTAAATAATGTGAATAGTAGTGCAGTTATCGTCCACCCCAGTCAGCTGTTACCCGTATTACCAGCACCTAACCCTCACACAGCTATCATTGGTGAGTAAAAAGTAATTTTACTTTGAAGTGCTTTGGATTCTTACAGGAGTGGAAAATGTACCTATTTGTTAAAAGTTTAACACACATTTTCAAATTTTACATTTTATACTTATTGAATTTGCTCTCTGGATTAAAAAAAAAAATTAGCAAAGTTTCAGCAAAAACTAAACATCAAATAAATTTAATATTTTATCGTGAAAATTACTATTATATTAATGCTATATTTTATGCTATTGAAAAGTGTAAGTGAAATATAAAGACACGCATTTTCTTGGAGATATTATATTTTATGATCTGATATTTGAATTGCGTCACAAGATGAAGAAATTAACATTTAAAAAAATAAAAAATACGCAAAAATTAATAAGTAATTGTTCTTTGAAATACTATGTTTGTGCAAACGCTGCGCAACACACTTAAATTAGTATTGTTTGTCTGTTAAAATTGAATAGTGGTGTTAGTACGAACAATTGGGTGACGAAGTGTATTTATATTGTCCCAGTATCCACAAGCGGCGTCAATGGCAGCGTGTTTCCCTGGCAGTCCCTAGTGCCCTTACTGCGTGCGGCGTCTCCTCCTGCCGCGGCGCCCGCTCAACCCCCTTCGCCTCGTACACCCCGCACACCGCATACACCCCATACCCCACATACACCGCACACGCCGCATATTAAGAGTGAGGAAATCAAGGCTGAGAGTAACGGTGAGTTAGCGATATTTCAAAGTTTTTGTCTCTGTTTAAAGTTTACTAAGTGAAAGAGTGCTTTAGGATTTTTTATTGATAATACATTTGTATTTACAACGATATTAACGTTAGTCAAGCTGTGTTGTAATTCAAATTTTTACAATTTCTAACATTTTTACAATTAAAAGACTTAATAAGATTCCAAAGTTTTTAGACCCTTTATCAGCTTAAAAGTATGTTCAATGCATAAGTTACAGATACCGTAACATCGATGTGTACAGACGAAGACGATGAAGTATTTGAATGCGAAGACAATACTCCGAATTGTGGTGATAATACTAACAATCGCCGAACGCAGAGCCTTTCCTCTCTCAGTCAGCCTGGAGGGCCAGAAAAGGTTTGTTTTTGCGTTGCCATGGTGACAAACGTGTATTTTTCTAATACACTTGTAATAAAATGTTGCTCAAGTTTGACTTCTTATTCCAGAAAGAACGTCGCATCCGCCGTCCGATGAACGCGTTTATGATATTCTCTAAACGGCATCGCCAGGTGGTCCATCAATTACATCCCAATCAGGACAATCGTACTGTTAGCAAGATTTTGGGAGAATGGTGGTATGCCCTCAAACCTGATGAGAAGCAGAAGTATAATGAACTCGCTAGTGAGGTGAGTCTGCGTAAAAATTGTAACGATTTAAGTAATAAATTGCGTATACAGCATATTATTTTATAAAAACCTCGTTATAAAAGTGTGTTAAAATAAAAAAACGGTCCTTCGAGCCGGATTCGACTCGGTAAAACGTTTGTTACCTCGAATCTTGCTTGACTGACAAAATTTTAAATATTGTATACTTAAAAATTAATAACCCCGATTACCTAGGGAGTTCAGTCGAAGTATTGAATCTAATTGCTTTGTTATAGGTTAAGGAAGCACATTTCAAAGCACACCCTGAATGGAAGTGGTGTAACAAAGATCGTCGTAAATCTTCAAGCAGCAGGGATCCCACGGGTTCTATGCCACAGGTATATGATTTAATTAAATGTTTGAGCATTAATTTTCGTTCCTGAATTGATAATTGAACTTATAACTTTATTATATTCTCTGAATACGTGGTATTAGTTTGAAAACCTAACTATCGTAAAGGTAATATTTGACTTATTTTTGGTCGGAAATAAACGTATTCTTAATATAATTGATAAAAGCTTCTGAGTTACCATCGCCATTAAAAAAGAAAGCCATCGCCATTGAAAGAACATTATTTTATTTATTGGTCTATTTCATTTATTCATTATAACATGCGATTAGGAGTCATGTAAAAACTGCAGTCAAGCAGGCCAAGGTTACAAAAATATTTCACCGAGGGATATTATATACAGTGGTGGTCATATAATTAGAAAAAACTTCTTATGAATTAAAGAAAGTATAACTTCAACGTACAAATGTTCGTAAAGATTATACACAGATTAATTAATAATCATGCAATAATATAGCTTGAAATAAATAATTCATTAAATGCATAAAATATAGAACATATCTTACTTTTAATTACAAAATGTTTACACATGTTTATTTTCTGTTACTGGCCGCTTGGACGCCTAATGTGAAACATTTCTTTTTCTATTATTTTGGCGGCAATTCAAGATTTTATCTGAATTTTATTTGTTCATAATGAGCAAAAATAAAAGTTATGACGCGTCAACTCGGCAAATAATTGTTAATTTACATATAGATCATAAGTGGGCGTACAGAAGCATAACTGACCACTATAGATATGAGTAAAAAATATGTTTCTATTTACAATCCGTAAATATGTTACTTAATATTGTGAACACCTTTTAGATTTTCTGGATGTAATATTTTATTGATATCAACAGAGTCCTCGAACGCCGTCTGATGTGATGACCAGCGGTTTGCCGACTAGTGGACCTGAAATTACTATGAATACTAACTCATACACTCACATCGCTTCGCCTCAACTAAGCGACGATGAACCTATGGTAATATTCTTTTATTTACATAAAGTTAAAAAAAAATCTTGTCACTAGTTAAGTTCGGTGGCGGTTGTTGGAGGGATGATCAAATAAATTAAACACTTTGTTCGAAGCTAACTGGAGTCTTTAATCGTTAAAAACAAGAGCTTATATCTAACATAAAAGTGGGGGTAGTGGGGTTGTGACGCTGGACTAATGAAAAACTGTAGTTATGTATGGGTTCATAAAACTAAGTAACACATATGTTATTTATAACGAATATAAGTGATTTCGTTTTCGAGAATGTATAATTTATGTGTATGAAAAACCAAAAAGCTCCAAAGCTAACATTTAAGAATTTATTGATATGCGCTTTTAAATTATTGACTAAATAGCTCACTGTATAATATTTATCTAAACCGCAAAATTATTACAAACTTTTATATAATTCGTTAATTATTAAAACTATTCGATGGCAATATTTGGGTAAACTGTTCCAAAATATTTAAGCTTTATTTCATAAAATGTGTTTTAGGCAATAAAGGGGCCATATTTAGTGGGTTTTACCCGAAACAATTATTGTTCAATCAATCAATATAATTAAAAATATAATAAAATGAAAATAGCGTAAATTAATAAATAGCATATTATATGAAAAGGTCACAAATACTGTTTTTTTATATTAAATTTTTTTTTATTTAAAGGTAACCCAGAACAACGAAGAGCCTCCACAAGCCGGTGGAAATGAGATGGACCTAAAGTGCGGAGAGAAAGTCAACGATTCAGACTCTGAGGGCATCGAGGCGAGAGAATATTTGACGCATCATGACCACACAAGGCGGCCTAAGGCCATCAAGGCTAGGTAGGGATTCATACCGAAACATCTGCTTAATTGTGTTATAACTTTTCTGGTGGTGCAAAAATTTACAAGAATGGGGTATTTGATGAATAGTATCGGCTAACACTAATATTATAAAGATAAAAGTTTTTGGTTTCAAAGTCAAAAATCATTTATTCATGTAGGTAACACAATGTACACTTATGAACGTCAATAAAGAAATATACATTGATTGATTCTAACTTTACATTTAGTGCCAGTTCTCAAATCAAGGGCGTAGAACGGAAGAGAAGAACTGGCAATAAACTCTCCGCCACTCTTTATAATCGCCATTTTTTACACAACGTTTGTAAGTAGCTGCAATCATTACACCATGTTTCACATGACATCTTAAGTAATAAATAATAATAAAATAAATTAAAAACAAAGACTTGTCCTCTATCAGCAGGAGGCCTGGAGAAATAGGAGCACGCACTTACATTGTCGTAGGAACAACACACAAACACATAGTCGAAATAACTAACATTACCGCATACACGAATTTAAGTAGGACCAGTCCCACAAGTAGCACCCGTTCACGAGTATGACGCATGGCCAGCCATCGGCCTCGTCTGGTGGTGCAAATAATTACAAGTATAGGGTACTTGAATAGTTTCGGCTAACACTAATATTATAAAGACGAATGCTTTTGGTTTTTTTGTTATAAATAAAATCTTATCTAACAAATTTTAAATATTCTATAAGCCATACATAAAAAATGTCCTTTGAAGCAGGTCATTACATCAGGCTTCTACCGAATTAACATGACACCGAAGAGCCTTATAAAGGTATAATTATTATATCGTGTGTGTACGGTTCCTGGGTCATCTAGGTGCTTTAAATAATAAAGGATTTTAGTTTTACTCTATTAACCATTCGTGTAGAACATATAGAATATAACCGAAATAATGAAATGTTAATTGCTATGTAACGAATGAATGCAATGTAACAGTCGAAGAGAGCGACCGGCTATACTCTCCGACGATTTAGGAAATCGCCACGCTTATAAAACTAAGAAAGCCTGAGTGAGCAAAATGTACAGCCATGGCTCGTGTGTGTAAGTCACTATGAAACACCGAGACACTTTCTCAAAACGCTCTTGCTTACTCAGTAACTCTCAAAACGCGCCAGAGATACCGATCCCGACGTTTTTGTATGCAAATTCGATGTAGTTCTTTCAATATCCATAGCGAAGATTTCTGAACCTTGGGATTGTGTTATACAAAAACATATTAAATAATAATAAATATTTTATTTGCCAAGATAGTGGTACAATTAGATCGATTGATTATAAAAATCCGCACAATCAGCCATATGTAAATAGGCATGCAAATATCATATACATTTTTATAATGTCATAATAAGATCATTAACATCATGTCATAATAATAAGTTAAGTTATTTATAATTGGTGTTACTGTGATCGCTATTGGAGTAAGGGTTCTAGTAAAAAATATTTTATTTTAGAAAGTTACCTATGAAAATTGTACCATATATTTAATACTGAAATTTTATTTACAGAGCTGGATCATCTGATAATCTACTGGGTATAACAGCTTCGAGTCCTGGCGGGTCCAAGGTATTTCAGCCCACGGGAGGTGCATTTAAGTCTACACATGCTGATAGTGGTAAATATTTTGGAATTGTATTTATGGGTTGGATTTTTAGTTGGAATCGTTATATTGACAAGTATGTATGTAATCATAATTGAATTTAATATGTTTTGGCAAACATTGTTTAACGACATAAGTAATCTAAGACTAGGTAAAAGTTTTTCCTCTTTGAATTTAAGGATATGATGCAATATACATATGTTAGATGTCAATAGTTAAGATTTTTTAAAACTTAAAAAAATCCCAAAATTCTATTCGCCTAGTACGAGATACGTATGAAATATGCTTCGGCAAAATCGGTAATTATTAGTATAATGTTAGCAATTATAAAATTACTAATAAAACGAAATGGTTCAAAAGTTAACTTTTATATTAATTTTAAATAAACGTCGTATTTAACCGTCAAAATTAACATAAGTAATATCTATATCTGCTGAAAGTGACGAAATATTGAACCCGACCGCGCATAAGTTTTTGACCTTATTGTATAAATATCGCGCCATCATGCAAACAGTGGATAATTAAATATCAATCCCAACAGGAGATAACCACAGACAATGGACAGCATTCACAGCCGTAAAATCCACTCTACCAGTGCCAAGTTCGCCTCACACAAGCACACAGAACATCACTAACAGTGTTCAAGGGATTTCTCTAAACACACCCAATATATCGACACAAACAGCACTAGATAACGCAATTGCGTCGATAATTAACAGTCCATCGGCCAGTAGTGGTGTGCAAGTAATATCGACTGGAATGTCTAATCCGACGATGTCGACAAGTGCCTTGAATAACGCACTGTTGAAGAGTGTCACGCTGGTTAATCGGAATTTCAGTGATAATAAACCTACAGGTATTTATAATTTTGAGATAGGTTGTAGAGTTATCCAATTATAATAATAATAAACGCCTGTTTAATGTATTTTATCGTATATCCTCGCCACCTTCAGTACCGTCATCGAAGCCTTTCACGGGAAAAGGTCTTCACCACCTTTCCAACTATCTCTTTCTTTTTCCATTCGCTTCCTGCTATCGCTTCTATTTCTTCTATCTACCTTTTTTTAGGGCTCTCTCTTCTCCTTCTTTCCTTTGGTCCTTTCCAGAGCTTGCTTTCCTGTTCTTTGGAGTATTCCAATTAGAACAAACAAATTTCTGCGTGTTTTACACGATTGGTAGAGGTCTAGGTTTTTAATACAAGCTACTAATTAAGGTTTAATTAATGAAGTGTCAAATTGTAGGACCAATAACGCTGTCGGTGGATGCATCAGGCAACTTGTTTATAAAGACAAGCCAACCCAGTGAGCCAGCCAATGAGCCAAACAGACTTCACTACGTGCAGTTACAAAGGCTTTACGTACCTTCATTTACTACTGGTAAGTTTTAGGAACACATATAATCTTCAACATTTATCTGAGCTACACAATTTTATGACTCTTTGAAAGGTCTAGACGTGAAAAGACCTTTATTACTTATGTGTGTTAAGTCAGCCTAGATCGTAATGTTCAATTAGATAATTTCATCTCATAATAGAACATATATCCTTCTCCTTTTTACTAGTGACGTAGTAACGTTCTTACTTCTTAATAATAAAATAACTTATTAATTTCAGTATTAAAAATTAAAGCTAATAACTCAAATCTTTTTAGAATAGTATACATCGCAATTTTAGATAGATGCTTCATACTAAACATTCAGAACATAATTGTGCGTGAGAAAACGAAAGACGCAGACGAATGTTTCGTTTGATTGTGATTGTTGAAATGGACGTAATAATATAACGCATCATGTCGCATGACAACGCGTATTTTTTAAAATTTATTTATCAGGAAACATGACAGACTCATCACATATATATGATATGTAAAAAAATATATACAAGTTACAATTTTAGAAGTGAATTGTTTGTTTCATAGACAAGATTTATTTTAATGTATTTTTAGTATTGCGATCGTGATGGTGTTGACGAATCACAATCGAATGGAGCGCACAACTTTTCATCTTTCGCCATACATTTTCAGTCTCTTTTATACAATTGTTTCTATATTCCGAAATATTTATTTCCTTAATCCGTTTTGTACAATATTTATTTGTTTTTTTAGAAGTGGAATCAAATCAGAATCAGACGCAAACCCAAACAGTCCAGAGTGCTCCTCCATCTGTTATAGTGTCACAGAGCAATAACAACGTTAACAATAACATTGTGAACAACAACGCACCACAGAGCAAACCAACGTAAGTTTTGTAGCCAAAGGCTAAGTAGGCATGTTAGTGGTCTGTGCATATTTTGGTTGATCATAGGATATGCAATACCATTGTATGAAAGAAAAGTAAAAAAAACTAAATTACTTTAGATAAAGATCTTTTTGCTTTTACATTATCAGAGTAGGTATGTGCTGATAAGAGATAAGCTATATATATGTTTGTTTATAACTTTCTCTGAATTTGCTTGCTTGTAATATATTTCTAAGCCATATAACTGGTGTGTCCAACTATTTCAATTATTCCATAAAATCTTTTATAGAATTTAAGAATGTAGTCGGAAGTCAATATACATATTTTTTATACATTTAAATGTAGTAAGAAATACACAAATCATTACAAAATTAATCAGTCCGATTGCACTGGTTCGAACTAAAATTCATTTGTTTCATTTCATCACAGCGTTAACACAGTTTGACAGAAAGAGACGAAAGACTATTTCAGTTAAAACAATCATGATTTTTATTTATCAATAAGGTTCAATTTTTATAACAGCAATGTTTTGTTTAGTGAATGGGATAATGTGGAGGAAACTCGTCCTTTCCCTCTCGCACCTACTCCAGCGCAATTGGGACGCGCGCCGTTACAAAAGAGACTCAGTCGAGGTAACTTCATGAACTTTTTATTTTTAGTACTTGAAGAGAAAGATTGTAGACATTAGAGTTTAGTAGTTTTATCGTTCATTAATTATTACAAGAAATTAAACAATTCCTTTTTCTTTACAATATTAATGTGTACTACTGTAACATCTTTATTACAATAAATTTTTAATATTCCCTGTATTTCATATTTTAGAGAACTTTGTTATTCCAGGCACTTCAACGGGTTCAACAGGTAGCGTCGACCAGAGTGTACCGCGGTCAGAGAGTAACACCACCCCCTTTGATACACAAGAGCTGATACAATCGCCCAAGAAACTCGAGAACCTGCCAAGTCCATTGCTGAAGAAAACACTGTTTAAGAAAGGCAATGAGGATGGAAGGGATAAGTAAGTTTTAATATATGGTGGCGTTGTTGAGCAAATTAAAAAAAAAACAACAAGTAACAAAACCTTTCAATTATCTATAATTTGTATTTTTTAGAGGAATTGGAATGCTATTTAAATAATAATTTGTTCTTAATTCAAGTTTTAAAAACCATGCTATTCGTTCGTTCATGTTGCAGATTTTGTATTTTTCTCATAAGACAGGTGGATATATCGTCACAGTGGCGTAACTATACCATCTGGGGCCCGTGGCAAATCTTCTTTCGTGGCAAATCTTCTTTCGTGGCAAATCTTCTTTCGTGGCAAATCTTCTTTCGTGGCAATTCTTTTGATGATCAGTAAAAATCGTCCCTACTTTATTTATTTTTATTTTAAACTTCGAGATTACTACTACCCCACTAATGGCCATAGGCCTCGTCTCTTAGGCGAGAGAGAATGGTCTGTAGTCACCACGTTAGCCCAATGCGTATTGGAGACTTCACATTCATCCATAGAACATAATATCTCTTGGGCAGGGGCCCCTTGGGTCGGGGGCCCGTGGCATTTTGCCAGCCCTGCCACCCTATTGTTACCCCACTGATGTCCATCAGTTTTGGCAGATTGTTTTTGACATTAAAATAATTGTAAGCCTTTTTATTTTAAGCAGTGTTCGCGTGGTTTCAACATTCGCAACTTTCTGTCTAGAGTCGCATTTAACACACGTACGGTGAAGGAAAATAATGTGAGGAAACCGGCCTTAGACCCAAAAACTCGACGGTGTGTGTCAGGCACAGAAGGCTAATCCTACTTGTCTATTAAGAAAAATAATAATCACGAAACAGATACAGAAATCAGAGGCTCAGACCTAAAAGATTGTAGCGCCATTGGTTATTTATTTTATTTTTATTATTTATTTAATTTAAAGAATTCTTTTACCTTTCATAGATGTATATTAACAATAGTCTAATATGTTTATTAATCTCCTTATTACAGGGTGCTAGAGACAGTTAACTTTGAAGCCAAGTTCAGTACGTTACCACAGTTCAAACCCGATGCCTGCAGTCCCAGTGGTATGGTTGTACCGCGAAGTCCACAGCTATATCTCAGAAAGAAACATAAAATGGGTATGTTTCTTTAAATCTATTTTATTTAATTTAAAGTATTAATTGGTATCTCTACTATATAATACTTTTAAATAAATCTAATTTATAATTATTCAGACCTTTTTGTCTTTTAAGAAACAGTCGAAGGTTTTTCATTGATGAATTCTTATTTTTACTACTAGCATAAAATATAAGTAAAAACAAATGACAGTTAAAATAAAAAAACTAACTATTAATTCAATTAGCCAGTCCCTAGGTCTATCTTCAGGGGCTGTGGTCTGTATTATTATCTTATCTAATTTAAACAATTTTTGTAAAACCAGGTTGATAGTGCTTAAAACTATATTGTAACTGAATTCAGGCGTATATATACATATATATATATTATATATATATATATATATATTATTATATAAAATACATATAAAATATTGGGAAATAAACTCGAATACACCAACTATTTCTCTCATTCTATTGTCGAAGGTTTTAGATATATATTATTTCAGATGACGAGACAACCGTAGTGACTCCTCAAATAGAAGCGGAGGTGCTTAATGGCAATGGAATCCCGACTCCCCATTCGTACGGCACGCCACACACCACCACTAAACTAGTGGGGAATACTTTCTTCGGGCCCGACTTCAACATTGACACTTTTAGAGGTATTTGGAATTTCAAGTCAAGATTTCTATTAACATCTTATAAGCTTTCGTCCAATTTACAATAAGCAATGTCCGTGTTAAATGTATGCAAATATTAATGTTGAAAAAAAAAACGTTGAATTACAAATAATCGGAATATAATAAGAAATTTTCTTAGTTTTTCTTTTAGTCACATCAAATAATGTTTTTTTTTTCTTTAGTGTCAGAGAGCATGGAAGAAATGTCTCCCCGTACACCGTGTTCGGCACCTGGATCTGCTGCGTGTTCGGGTGCGAGAGGAGAAGCTGGACACAGAAGAGTATTGGAACAGAGGCGACATCTAGTGCTCAAACTGTTTCAGGAACACGGCATGTTCCCTACTACGCAGGCCACTACTAGTTTTCAGGTATTTGTTAGTTATGGAGAAATCATTTTCATGTTTTATAAAGAGTTTTTAATTAGAATAGTAAAATATTATGTAAATTTAAGTTTATTATTTTTTGTACCTCAGAAGAGTCTATCTGTCACCCACAACACAGAAATGTCCTAGCTTTAAATTAATGCAATAATAGAGAGGTTTAATTAATTATAACGTTTGTTTATTAGAATATTAATGCATTGATGCTTTATCTTGAAAGATGTATGACTAAAATTCTCGTACTTATTCAGTTACAACATCAACTATATATATTTTAATGGTAATAGCCAATGGTTACGATAAAAGTGTACTAGTAAAAAAAATCTTATGAATTGATTCTTATTTTTATGTAAAATGCTACAAATAGGCAACGACCCATGGTGGCGTATTAACTGTTTTCATTTAATCCGCTAAAATCCAAGTAAAATTGCTGAGCTTGACCAGAGGAGATTGAAAACCTGAGGTCGATTCGTACTTTAAACATAAAGCTTTTAAAAAAAATCTGTTTATTCATTTTAAATTCGACAACTTTCTGCTTTTTTTTCATACTATAACTTCTGTTTACTATATTTTCATGGCTCTCTTAAAGTGCAACGTCATCGGTCATAACCATAATTCTTCCATTATACCATTACCTTATACAGCCCTAAGAAAAGGACAATAGTGATAGAGAAAGTCCGTATATGTATCGCAAAACACTGTTGTCAAACTTCACGCGAGAACGTTTTGACAGCTCCTCAAACTGATCGTTTTGTTTGATAAAATTTGCAGGCGGCCCACACAGACATATTCCCGACCAAGATGTCCTTGCAGTTAAAGATTCGCGAAGTGCGACAGAAACTGATGGCCCAGTCAAATCTCACTCCACACTCGGACGTCAACACGCCTACTAGTGAGTTTTTATAAAATAACTTCATATGTTTAATGAAACAAACTTATGATCATATAGTTTAACTCAAATATATCTATTTGCATCGGTTTATCTCATCTGTCTCTTTTCATCACAACATAGGCACAATCTGACAGAAAGAGACGAAATGTTAGTTAAAAGAATGCATGTATTATAAATAAGCGGCAAATTCTTTAGTGCCGATGTTTCGTTTTTTTTTTTTAAAAACCTGTCTGATTCGTAGTTTTTATCACATAAAATACAAATGAAAATCTATACGTATGGTATGTAAATGATATAAAACATTTTGAATGACAGGTATCTAATATTTACGGGTAATTCGTTTGATTAAAAAAAAAACAAAAAAAGGGTGCGTGTAATTATACTTATGTACGCGCGTAAGAAGTTATACTTCTTTGGCATTATTAAAAATAGTTTTTGATTGCATGCAAACAATTAATTTTTTTTATGGCTCTGGCACGGTTTGTGCATTAGCCAGCGTCAAGTATAGGATTTTTATAATTCGTGCTTTTTGCCTTAGAAATTCGACCATGTCCTCCATGTACGATTTAGGCACTCGCCCGGTACCGCACAACCCTCCCAAAGGCCGAGAACAAATTTAAATTAAATTAAAACTTGCCCTCGAACCGGGAATCGAACCCGGTACCCCTCACCTAGCTGCCACTTAATAAGACCGCTAGGCTATGAGGCCCCTAAATCATTAATTACAATTAAATAATCAAAGACTGGAAAAGGAGTCATTATAGTCAATAAAGTTCAGTTTACATTTGAAAAATTAAATAAATAAATATTTATTATTATTCTCTTGCATTAAGTGTAACATAAATTCTATTATTATTCGAATGTTGTTTTTAAATTATGTTCAATGCCGTAGCATCTTCCGTGGGCAACTTCATACTGTTAATTTTGTGTCACGGTGCGCGCGCATCGTAAACTCACTCTCATCAATTTTTCATAACGCGCCTAAAGAAGTATAACTTCAAAAAATCTGCTATATTATGAGGAAACACTAGATAGACTGGGGCTTTGAGTGCCTAATAATCATTAATCAATAAATAAATAGCTACCAGAGCCGCGAGCGCATACAAAATTTACTTGGAGAAGCACCATTTACGCGCGTCTTTTATTGCATGTGAGAATGATTTATTTAGTTGCACACTGGCTGAATTCACAAGGATTGCATTATTCATAATTTTTCATAAAAAGGATTAGATTTAATGTTTTATTGATATGTAACATAATGTTCTTAGTTTAAATGTTGTATTAATAAGTTTATTGTAATAGTATTAAGTTACTGTAAAGCGCAATACACATTGAGCCCGCCGGGCCGCCGACATATGTTGGCAACTTTTTGTCGGCGGCGTAGTTGGCGGCTTCACTTATTACAAGTCGGAAAATTTGGTCGGCGGCATGTCGGCGGCTTGAGATGAGATATGTTGCCGACATGATTCTTTTCATACAGGCCGCCGGGTTGTGTCGCCGGACTTCGTCGGCGGCCCGGCGGGCTCAGTGTGTATTGCGCTTAAGAATAGAAAATAAGGAAATAAATAAATTAAATTATTTCAGACATAAACTCTCCGCTCGTATCCAGCACTTTGCAGCCGACGTCAACGGCCAGTTAGCGATGCGGTTACACACTCTCCATTGTGGTGCGTCATTGAATTGTAAGATTTTTGACCATGCCAGATAAGGAATGTTTTTGGTTCGGTATTGTTATGAAGAGGATAGACTATTTATTATTTGAAACTGAGAAGTTGTGGTCAATTGTTTCGTTTAAGAATTTATTATTACTTCTGTCGTTGCGTAAATTGGCTATGCACTGGTTTAAAGTCAACTAAGGTCCATATTCTAAATCGTATTTCGACTCAATATCGTATTGAATCGCTGTCAAATTTGATACCGAAAAAATGGTTTGGCAGCTCTTGAATTAAAGTTTGACGTTTTACGGGCCTAATGTTATAAATTTGAATTGTCGATATATTTTTTTTCATATGAACCTGTATTCATATCAACTCTTTCAAAGAGTATGTATGTATAGTCTGTTCTCTATAATCTGTGATGTTAAAGATTTGAAAGTGCAGGGAATTGGATTCTAATAGAAGCGATACGCAACAGTAAAAATCACGAACGTAAACCAGTATAAGATTTATAAGTTCGCACTGCAATGGAGCTATTTTCAATTGATACTTGTGGTATGCATTTAAATGATGCAATTGGTTATTAGGTAACCAAATAATTAGGTTAAGAAAAAAATACAAAAATAAATAAAAAATGTTATGTGCGTGAGTGTTATGGTACGCGGTTGTGTTATTCACAGTTTTAAAATATGCACTTTTCTCTTATTCATTCGGATACAGCTTCATACAGATATTTTTACTCTAAGCACCTCTCAGATTTAAGCAGATTCTTAACTAATTAAGTCCGATTTAGCAGGCACTAATGAAAATAGGTTGAGTAGGTGAGAGGTGATAACAGTTGATGTTTAATGTGGGTAAATTGTTTACCAATTGCGAATTATATGAAACATAAAATACGATTTATATATGTATTCATATAGTTATCATATACTCAAACGTGCACGATCTCAATGTTTATTGTATTTCGTTGGAAATATTTGTATAAAACATATGTATAGTACATGTAGTTAAGGGAATGAAGGATGTATATCCTTAACATTTGGCTCTTCGTCAAATCTCTGTCTGAATATGCAAGGGTCAATCAATCAGAGGGATTTAAAGTCCTCCCCCTTCTAGGATTTCAAGGGGAATTTTAAGCTCTGAGTTTTATTGGTATTTGTGTCTTTAGACATGGTTAAATTCAGAGAAGTGTGAACTAACACCAAGTGTTCAATATCACTTAGTTCACACCAAGGGTTTAATTCAGAGTCGAGACTCCCTAGAGACTATTCAGAGTAATATGACACCTGTATGAAAAAATCCATTAAGTTTTAGAGGATATGACTCAGCCATAGTCTCGACTTTGAGTCTAATTCTTAAACTGTCTTAAATCACAACCTACAAGAGTACCAAATGTTATTTGCAATACGGACTGTGTATAATGCCCCATTCAATGTCTCGTTTACTAACTCTATTTAAAACTACAAACAATCAAAGGAAACCTATTATGTTGCTTAAGAAATAACCACACTGAATTCTTAAATATATCACCTTAATGTTTAAAAGCAATATTATTTCTGAGGACTCGAATGGGGCGAAATTTGGTGCAAACAATCGTTTAGGCATTAATCTTTATAATTTTCTATTTTATGTTGTGATGTTCGTCTTCCACGCGTTTGAAAAAAAAATCATTTTATAAAATGAATATCTACTTATTTAAATCTTTATGTACAGTGGTTTAAGTGGCAAGTGGTCGATTAGTTGCCATGTAATATAAGTTTTTTATTTAGTGGTGCTTATGTTATAGCAACGTACAGAGCGACATTTGTTTAATTAAAAAGCTAATTGTAGTTTTGAATGAATCATGCTTAAGTTAGATGTCGCTCCAAATTTTGTTAAAGCTTAGCTGGTTACGAAAAAATTAATTTAGGAATATGAATGTAACATTACAACTTCAATTTTCTGAAATATTTTTTATTATCTTGCTTAACCTTTGTAGATTTGGCTGTTATTTTTATAGTTTTAGAGATATATAAATATGGACATTTCACAGAATCAGCTCAAATCATTAATGATACTAGCTAAATCAATATTTATACAATCTCACTGTAAATATTAATGATATTTTAACTTAGCCTTAAGTATTCCTGGCTCTCAAAGTAATTAGGGTTTTTATTTAGAATGCTAATTTTAGATGAGATATATTATTTATACTCGAGAAATTTTCGGCCAATACAAATGTTTATATGAAAAAAATTGTATTTTTAAAATGATCTCTTTCGAGTTAGAATAATTGCTTTAGGAGTCCGGAAGTGGAGAGAATTTATTAAATCTATAATGTAAGAGAATATTTTCGCACTGTTAAATCTTATCTTTATATGTGTATGTAAAATGTGAACGTAACGACTTTACAGAGATCCGAATATAAACGAGATGCGGTTGAATTGTCTTAGAGCAAAAATAAATAAAACATTCGTAATCCAAACGATCTGGCACCGAGGGCTGATCATGCTTATGAAGAAAAATGATCAATGTAATAGCTATAGAAATCTGACAGTAAGACCAATGTGGTTTATAAAAACAACAATGAATTATTTAATTTAAACAGTCCCAAAATAAGACAATTCAACTGTTTGTTCGATCTGAAGCTATTCGAAAATAGACGAAGTAAAATGATTAATATAGTCAATTTATTGTTGGTGTAAATGTGTGTAGCAGTTGTTACCATACAGTCCTCTTCAAATCCAAATTATGTGTGACTGTAGAATGTGTGTTATAATAGAGCAGCATCTTCAACTTTATGTTTTATTTCCGACCATGATTATCTTTCCCGGTAAAAGATGCAATTTATTAACCACATAATTATGTGATACCATCTTGTCTTTTTTCGAAGGTATTTAACAATAGCTGACTTGAGTAATTATTTACAATAGATTTTAACTATATACTTATCAGTAGATAATTCCATTTTTCATGACTAGATTAATTACATATTCTAATTGCCTCTTATATTTCCATATTATAGACATGTTTCAGAAATAAGAATTTGGGATTTTCAAAAAAAAATTTTTATTCAATAGCATCCTTATAACTACAATTGGCCTAATTATATTAAGCTTATTTTAATGATGTGGAACTATAAGAGGTAATAAAGAAAGGATTATAATAGAATAATTATTATACCATAACAGATAGGAAAATTAAATATTGTGATTATATTTGTCATATCCACAAATTACCCTATTACATTTTATGTTTTACTTGCACTTTAGTGAAATATAATGTCATCTAGTTTAAAGGCCTTGTCAAATCTTAGAAATAATGTCAAATCATTATTTTAATAAGGAACATTATTGTTAACTTATTTCATTATCAAAACCTGGTACATTAAATCAATTGCACATTTTGACAAGGCCTCGAAATTAGGAGTTTATATTGATGTTTCAATTTGCTTACACAGTCCACTTTTTGTTTGTCCGTTTCTAACTTTGAATGTATTTTGTGTTGTCAATAACAAATATGAAAATCTTGATGCTGCATATTACTAGTGCCTTATTGACTCTCAGAACTTAGAATAGTGTACAAAACATTTGCGCCATATACAAACCTAGGCTTTGTTAGTCAATATGGTTAATAAGCAGTTTCTTTTTAGACTGAATTTACTTTGTTGCATATAACATTGTAATGTTATACTTTTAAGGTATAGATATAATTTTGAAAAAAAACATTTTAAATGGAAGCATTTCATATTCGTTATTTATTTCTTCTAAATAAGCTATTAGTATAATTGTTTAGTCAGAATGGTGTACTTTGTAAATAACTTATTTAGAACAGTTTATTTTAGATTTAAGTGTTTCAATTTAATGTAAATTAGATTGCATTAGATAAACCTAAAATCAGAAACATTGTAGTGGAGTTTTTTAATTAATCCAGTTTATGGACCAATAATCTTTGTAATGGAAGTGAAGACATCAAAAACAAATTTATAGACAAAACAGATACTGGACATACTGTTCAAGCATATTGGATCATTGTATGAACTTATGTTTAAACATAAAAACTAAAAAACATTTGTGTGTTTCATTTATTTTCTTTACATCAAACATAATCAATTAAGCTTTCAGTACAATCATTTAGTTAATAAATAAAATCTGGTATATTCTATCTAATGATTGCTATTAGCACTAAAATTATATGAAAAATGAATAAGTATCAATCTAAATTTACACTTTCAGGTTTTGGTATAGTTTTTATTAATAAACCGGGTTTATCTTCTTCGAGCATAGATAAGGCTGCCTGCAATTCTATATTATCTCCAGGATCACTAAGGACTAAAAACTTAAGAGACAACATTCTAGATAGAGCAAATATTGAACCTACACATATATTACAACCAACAATGTCAAGAAATTCTAAACTATTTCCGTTCTGTCCTGCTAATCGATCTAGACACCAGACATCAATAAATTTATTGTTTCTCAATGAAAGCCATTTTAAAAAATTAAGACCCGTCAGATTTTGAATACCCTCATACCTGATACCATTGTAGTGGAATTTTGAGCAATCTACAGCTTCAACAAAATAACCACTGATGAAATTACTAGGTAGATTTAGAGTCATAGCATCTCCAGAAATCCACTCCTTCGAATCTTTGAGTCTAAAATTAAAATAATTTGTACATAATAAGTATTTATTTTTAATATTGATTAACAAAATTTTTAAGAAAGCTACCAACCGAACAGAACAATGACGATATGTGAAAAAGTGCACTGCAGCCAAATTGCTACCCAAAGCTGCAACTCTTTCAGGCAAAAACTTTTGATTTTGTATTTCCTGAATTTCTTTCATGTCTTTCCACCAATCTTTTACATCACCAAATGTGAGATTAGGGATTTTTTGCATGGCATTAAGTATATTCATATTTGGGTTTTTTTCAACGAAAATATTTAATTTGCTAATGGTTTCACCTTCCCTCTTATGCCAAGGTTTACGCCACTCAGGATATAGTTCGCCATGCACTTTTCTTGGCTGCTCCCCTCTTTCATGTTTCTCGTACAAAGATTTCGGTTCACCTTGGCAATAATATCTAACTATATGTAAGGGACGATAAATAGTAGTCTGTCTAAGACTGTGTGCCATTATTGTATTTTAACAAAACATATTAATGTGAACTAAAATTGTATTAAATGCCAATTGCCATTACAAAGGATTTATGTTTTGTTTCGACTTTAAATATCAATTAGTCTTGGGTTTGAAGTTTGTGTAGGCTGTCATTTTGACTTTGACAGATACCTTAGATGTGTGTTATTAATATCTAACTATATGTAAGGGAAGATAAATAGTAGTCTGTCTAAGACTGTGTGCCATTATTGTATTTTAACAAAACATATTAATGTGAACTAAAATTGTATTAAATGCCAATTGCCATTACAAAGGATTTATGTTTTGTTTCGACTTTAAATATCAATTAGTCTTGGGTTTGAAGTTTGTGTAGGCTGTCATTTTGACTTTGACAGATACCTTAGATGTGTCGTTTTTTAAATGGACTGTGGATTAGATGTTTACAAGCGAATTAAATTTTATTTTCTTGTACTCTTTTTTCTACTTCTTAGTTCTTATGTTACTTGAATAGTAGGTACTTTTGCTAATGTCTAGTTAGCGTTAAAAACAAACATACAATGGATGAAGTATAAAATATAGTTGTTAACATTTATTTTATTTATAAACAGTTAGTTATATAAAAAATCACAATCTGTATTTTTGTACATTGGAACAATGGGTTTTTATGTCATTATTTATGAATTGATAAATTTATTTCTGTTCCTAGCACATATTAAAGTAGGTAGTAGACCATTTTGTTATACCTAGGTTCGATGGAGGTTCCGTCGTGAGTAGGTACTTACAGTTTGCAGCTAAAGGACTATGAATATTGACCCAATAGACATAATATATATAGTATTTTACACTAAACAATATTTTCTTTTTAGAGTTTGTTTTGGATTCTTGGCATGTTTCCAAAAGAACGCACTGCTGGCTTATTTAGATCAAGCCACGCTCGGTAGACGACGCGATAACCAAATCTATTCCAATTAAGCTTTCCATATTTATAGTAAATACACAATAAACTGTGCAGTGCAAACAATTATTTAAGTTAAAGTTTCTGCATTATTTCAATCATTTGTGAAAACCATTAATGCTGAAGAAGTATGTTTAAAGTGTACGTATTTGTAATTTCGGTATTGTGAAAAAATAATTGTCTAATCTCTCATCGAAATTTAAGCTTTAACTAATTCTTGTTAACCCTAACATACTTAATACCAGCATGCTACTCGACTTGATACAAATTAAAAAAGGTTTTGTTTTTTTAATTCGAGTCTGTTAAAATTTTGTTTAGATATGTAAATCAGTTTGTAGCGACACCTACAATTTGCGGCTAAAATCGGTTCCAAGACTTATCAAATGCCGAGTACACATACAAGATCTCGGCCCTAGCCTCTGGGGCAGTACAACTTCCATGCTTCGCACTTTAAACAATTCTTGCTATTCATAAGCTACGAAAATAAAGAATATACTTATTACAGTTACACGTATTTTTTCAAGACTTACGGCGCACGCCATAGCCATTTCTTTATATATACATAATATAATATATATATACATTATAGATTCTGTATACTCTTATCGCTGCTGGTTCTATCAAGAGGGCAAAAACAAAGATGCGACCAGACGCCACCACAAGCGACTGTAATTACTCCATCAGACAACATGGGCATCTATCGTATGAGTATCAGCACCAAAGGGAATGACACCAACATCTACCGACCGGATCAGACATACGTTTGTAGGTCATAATAATTTTGATTCGTAAGAAGTAAATTCGTATTAATTGTATTTATTTTTAGTTTATAAGGAATTTCAATTTGTGGTGTAGCCCTTCAGGCTTCAAGGTTAAACCCCGTAGGGGTTTTTTGGTGTTTTCTGTACTTTATATATATCTATTAAGCAATAAAAATAAAATTTAGATCATTATTTACGATGTTAAAACACTTTTTAATCGGTAATAAATTATGTGTTTAAAAGCATGTACAGTCGAAATTAGTTTATACTAATACTCTTATGAGTAGTTGAACAAATGATTTTAGAAGAAAACTTATTTTATATCAATAATCAGATAATATAATATGCAATTTACGTAAAGTATAAAGCCTTATGAAACTGATTTCAGTGAAATTAACAACAAACAACGCGACGCGTCCTTTTCGATGGTTCATGATAACGGTAGAGGATCCAGAGATGGATAATAATCCTGAGTATGATCCGAAATTGGTGGATGTCGGCAGCCTCAAAACTATTGACACGAACAAGCAGTCCCGATATAGTGAGAGATGTTATAATTCTGTAGAAAATACTGATAACTCTGATAAATATAAAGTTGAGGTACGTACTATCAAATTTAATAGATAAAATGGTTAATTGTAACCTCGAGCTAAAAATATAAAATACTAAAACTGACCAAGTAATGTGACATTTACAGCAATGTCTTAACCCCGAATTGATCGTGATATCTAATCTAAGTCTAATCTTATAAGTTTAAATTTATTTAAAGGTTTTGTTTGTTTCTAACTACTGGTTAGAATATCCCTTCGATTTAAAAAAAAAATATTTTGTTTTCCATAGTTTAGATAATCCGAAAGATAATTGTATTACGTAAAATGAAATAAAAGAGTGTTCAAAGGTTTTAACTACCTTTACATCAAAATTCTTTAATTTCATTCATTCACAAGCAGCCAAACCCGCTGATTTGTAAGAGTTTAGTAAGTAGTCATTAATAAATGTTTAGGTTATGATTGACCTATTAATGCCATCTATTATTTTATTATCTATGTGCACATGAATACATAATACAATCTACATATGGACGTCTGGTAAGCTACACTGAATACGTCTTTTTGAATAAATATTATGATTTATGTGTGTCATCTCAAAGAACTTGTAGCTCTTTAGAAAATACTTATGTTAATCTAATTCTTCTTCTTCAACTTCTAATCTCAGATTCATTGGGTATCACCAAAGCAAAATGCACGTAGACAGAAAGTTAGACTTCGCGCTATGGTGGCTGAGAATAAAGAAGTATGGCACGTAGGAGAAAACCTTACTATCACCTTAGAGAAGGATGATCGTCGACCCCTGGATAGCCCTCCCTATCCTCCCGAACCAAATTGTAATTTGTGCAGTGAGGCACAATATGAGGTATTTGCAAAATTGTCATAAGGATAACAGTATGAAACCTCGTTTAGTGTTTGCGTTTAAAAGTAAATTCTAAATCAATCAAATACGATCAAATCAAATAAAACTACAAGAGGATATCCCTTTTGAAGTCTATTTAAAGCTACCAAAACGATAGGCTATAGGTAATTAAACAAGTTACAGAGTCAAGTCCCAAGATGAACCATCGCGATTACACGGAAACCAATACATAGTCCGTCGCAAATAAGGAATAAAATCTAAATATGTTTTAGATAATACGGCATCGAAAAGTCTTGCTTTTGAGTCGGTTAAAGAGACTTAGAGAGTGATTTTAGTTGATCATTTTAATTAATTATTTCGCCTTACTTTCAAAACTCAGTAACTTAAAGTTTAATTCTAGTTAGGAGTGATTAAGATAAATATCATTGTAATGTTATATTCGCTCATTTTAATAATTTTCTTCCGTAATCTATTGTTTAAAAATGTTTCAACTGAAATCCTTTGAATGAAAAAGTAATTACAAGTTTGAGTAAGCACTTACCTACTTCCTAAAGTTATTTAAGCGCAGAACGGAAATCAAAGTTTGTTACTTTAAATCATTGTACTATCACAATCGTTATCTCGATGTTCAAATGCAAAACTGTTCTTAATACATCTTTATGTTACAGTTAATTATACATAAACTTTAATCCTTTGAGTCCTGAAAACACAAAGTGTTGCCGTGTTAATTATAATTTAATATTTTCGTCTTGATAGATTCTTCTTATTTTTGAGTATAAACATTATTACTTTTGAATTTCTTTTGTCGTTCATTCCTTTGTCTTTTACCGTCACATTACGTTCACGTAACGAAGCCTAAAACTTTTAACTAAAGTCAAAGCAATGTTGTATACAGATTGGATTTAGCATTTATACATAGGAAAGGTAATTAAAAAGGGTTGTAATTTAGGTTATTTTCAACGGACGCTGGTCGAGAATGACTCATCCACGCTACTACCCAAGCAAGCCAGATGACAATGGTTATAGTCATTTAGTGGGAGCCTCCCATTCTTTTTCTCACACAATTTGGCAACCTGCAGATCAAGCGTCGCCTGGACTCCAAAAATTGGCAGAGGAAGCGGATATAAGTTTAATAGAAAGGGAAATTATTGATTCTGTAAGTTCATATAGCGTTAATAAAGATGATGATAAATATTGATCAGCTTTGATCAGCAGCTTTAAAAAGCCTTGCCTATTAACCAATGTTGTGTGAACTTTAATTAAAAGGGAGATTATTGATGCTGTTCAAATAACTTTATGTTATATGGGACAAATAATACGTATATATGTCAAAAATTCAGAGATTTTTTTTGGTGTAATATCGGAGTAAACCAAACTGTGTTAATTTTAATTGTCTCCGAGACTTTACACCAGTTTTTTTGGCGCTAAGAGCAAACGGCGAGCGGCAAAACCAAATTGTGTAAATTTGAATTATGCCACAGCTATCGGCGACGCGCCTGGCGGCGCGACCGGGGGCGGGGCCGCCCCCGGGGGGGGGCGGGGGGGGGGCCGTCTGCCGAAAATGCACTTTACACCAAAGGATTGTGGGCCGCACTTGAAGCATTTCGGGACCAACATTTTTGCCCATTAAAATAATGGAACAAAAAATTTATTAGTGAAAACGAGGACACAATATGGAGTCAACTCCACTCAAAATTAGGCATGTTATAAAAAAATTGGGGACGACTAATAAAACTAACTAATATACTCTAAATATTGGCGCCGCGGCGCAACTGGTCGAGCTGTGGCAAACCACCGCAAACCCCCCGCAGACCCTCTTGCCGCCCCCTACACCCCAGAAACTGTGGCCAAGCTCTTAGGGTCCTTCAAGGATAAGAGCGTACCAATTCCTATAATGCCGGCAACACACTAGCGAACCTCTCTATCACTTAACTTCAGGTGATGCTCCTGCCCGTTTGCCCCCGTACTATAAAAAAATGTTTAATTTCTAGATGTCGCCTCTAAACGGTACAAGGACCTTGATAATAGGGAAACGTCGTTTTCACCCAAACATGGGTGAACCATCACATTCTTTATTTCGTGTCGATAATGTTCACCACCTATTCTCATTGGTAGTAGCAATAAAGCCGTCTCCAGATTGGTTCCTGGGAGCATACAAATTTGAACTTTGCACTAACGTTGGATGGTTGAAGGAATCTGAGATTCCACTCTTTCCGTGGGATGCGGGAACTATGGATGGAGTCTCTTATGAGGTACGGATATTTTTTTTAAATGCAAACCATTTTCCATTCAAGTTTGAAAGACAGTATTTTTGATGAATGTCTAACTCTATAAGAGAACTCAAGGGAATCTTGTTCTTGTTCCTCTGTTTTTAAGGTGGTCTAAGCCAGCAAAAGTGTCCTTTATTTTAGAAAATCGATATAATATTCATAACTAAAATGGCGGGATAATTCGCTAGTCCATTATATGGATATATTTTTGTCTAACGAGATTGCAGAATTTACCTAATAAAGAAATTTACTTAAGAAAAAGATATGATACAATATCTCCATATAAATAGTTTATATTTTTCTATAGTCTGTCCCATCGATAACTCAGCCGCGTGATGTCGTGAGTCGCGTGGCTGTGGGGTCATTCAACAAGGAGTCGCCCTTCTACCAAATGAATCTTAACGAGATGAAACCTTTCGCCTTGTTACAAGTCAGACTTTTGAACGTCTTTCCTTTAGTTGGGGCTGAATGTTCTCAAGAAGGTATATTTTTCATACTATTTTTATATTAATTAAGATTATTCAATGTATTTTGCGTTCGTTATCTTTATTAAAAACTATAACTAATTGAGCATAGGCCATTTGATTTTTTGTATATATATCAAAAATATTTTTAGATTCAGTTTTCACATGCTCTGAAGTGCAAAATGATCTACAGGAAGAACAGAGAGAGAATCCAAAGGAGTAAGTATTATTATTACATTCTTCGAAATTAGGTTTAACCAATTTACAACGCGTTTATTGATCACAGTTATTTCATATGAATTAAATTAGTTTTCGCAACAATTATATTATAGAACAATATTGCTGTTCGGATTGATTGAAGTAGTAAATTTCATTCTGATAACATATTATTATGTAGATAGAATTTAGCAATGTACGACTATAAAGCACACCATGTCCCCGTTGTATAATTTTCAAATTTAATTTAAAAACCATTATTAAATATATGTTTTTTGTTGTATGATAATTGCTCTAAAATTAGACATCTATTTTTCAAATTATACTTTATTTAGTATTTCTTATTATACTCCCGTGTAATATAATGAATCCGTTATTATAACTTGATGTCCGTTAAAACTGTTTTCGGTTGCTTAAAGTACTGACTTGCTTAAAATAGACGTTAACGTGTCTATAAGCAGTTTTAGGCAAGCTCAAGAGCTTGCGTCTCTCATCCCTGAGTTCAAAGGTTCGAACCCCGGCTGTGACCCGGATTTGACACTCGTTTCTACGGTGACAAAATCGACGAAATCGGCATGCCTTATGCCCAAAAGTTGTCGGCGTGTGTCACGAACAGGAGGCTGAAACAGATATAGAAATCTGACCAAGACCCAGGTTTGTAGCGCCAGTAGTAACAATTTCTGAAACCTTTTTACAGAAAAGAAGATGAAAAAGAGGAGCCAATGATATCAGAATTAAAAATAGCAGAAGAGTGCATCTCGAGTGAGTGGGGGGAGTGTCTTTTAAATACCGTTTAGAATCTGGCGGTAATTAAAAGATAGGATAAGAAGTTAGTAATAAATTAGTAATATTATGTATAGGCACACAACTGTTTTCTCTTTACCGAAACAGACGAAATTCAGTTCAGGTTCTATGTCACCGAAAGTAGTTCTTATTACCACAATTAAGTTGGATAGCAGTTAATACAAAAGACGAAATTATAGAAATGATGACGCGTTTCGCTTGTGACCTTGAATAAATTCTAAAATGAATGTTTTCAATCTAAATTAGTTCATTTCTAGACACGCGACACAATCCGTCGTTTCGTTTTTGGATGTCGCCTCTTCTGCCCAGGCTTTAATGCATTCTCGCTTACGACGTAAGGCCACCTTGCAATAACGTTTAAGTCAAGGTTTGCCACCCATCGGCACCGCAGAGAATGGTACAAATAGGTCCATACCCTGCAGGACATCCTCGGCCCGCGGCCAAATGATACGCGGCATAGGTAGGAGAGGTAGGAAGTATCAGCCGGGAAGGAAATCTAAGTCTCGGAGTAAGGCCGGTTTCTTAAGCTCCAAAAATTAAAAATCGTATTAGTATATTGGGAAGTTAAAGAAAAAAAAATGGTTCTGACTCCCGAAGATAAGATAGAATTTAGAATACTGAATCAGCAAAGAGTTGTTATTGCCGCAAAAATACAGTGAATATATGCTAAATAGCAGCTATTTTCTGTTTCAAATGCAAATCCAAAAATCAGACGTAAATTCAAAAGCAGGAAATTGTTCGAAATAATTGACAATCAATTGTTGTTCCACGTTCGACCAAATATACAACTGTGCAAAATAGCTTAAAATATTCAGCATTTACGTGTTACGATGTTTTTAGTAACGTTGGCCTTTTATTAGGAACTTAGGCATACTACATTATGTAAGTTAGCAAGTTCAGTATTAAGATATTGATATATTTTTGTATATGAATATTATCTTGTATTATTTTTATAAACGCATACAGCTGTTTTATAAATATAATTAAGTGTCCATCAAATTAGCATTAAGACCAAAACTGGTCGCGAAAAAAGGAAATTGAAATAATTATGAAAAATCGAAGAAATTGATATTGAATAGTCATTACTTTCGAGTCATTAGTATATTAGTAGCATAAAATTTGTATAACTATTTTGTATAATGTTTGACAATAATAAATATTTCTGCATTAATTTTTCGATATTTTATTCATATTTTCCGATCCTTAACAGATAAGAATTCTTTAAAGAAATTGGATGTCTCAAGAACACTTCCCATTATTAGATCGCAATAAAATTCGATTAAGGGGTAATAACATAAAGTGGCGGGACCGAGGTCTGAAGCCTGGAGTCGGGATGCATCCAGACAGTTACCGTTAATCTTACACTTGGAAGCTGGATGTGGCGTAGACCTGATACAAACAGCTTTTAGGTGTATGTCAAATATTAAGCGAAAATATCGCGCGATAACGTATTTTTGAAATTACAATCATATGTTTATCATTTATTTTTTGTGTAATTTACTGTTGATTACATGGCTTATAACCAGCATATACTAACAGCTTATACAACAACATACACCTAGGACGTTACTATTTCTGGGGAAAAATTATATACATTTGCCGATTAAAAAGAGTGGCGGAGTGTTTTTTGCCAGTTCTCCTCTTCCGTTCTACGCCCTTGATGTAACTAGCAGTAAATGTAAAATTAGAACCATTTAATCTATTTTTTTTCGTCGTTCATAAGTGTACATTGTGAGTCATGCCTACAAACAAAAATCAATAAATGTCACAGACGTACTTTCGTCTGCCCGCTATAGATACACATTCAAACTGTTATTACTTCATGGCATGTAATATGTATATTATAAATACATGACAAAATAAATAGCTACGTAGATTCAAATTACCTTAAAATGTATCTAGATGTCGACTATAGCTTGATTTTTATTTTCCAACTACCACAGATAATATTTGTTATCTTAGCATTTGATTAGCTTGCTATCAGATAGTGGCTTAGCACCAAGATTAGATACAGAATATGGTCCCTAATTGGTACGTTAATTTGATTGTTTGTGGCAACTTGGGTACGAAGTAATAACTTAAAGAGTCTTAATGTGATATACACCGTCTTAATGAGACTGCTCAGGGATTAAACTCGATTTAGGAATTTACGGCTGAGTATTGTGGAAATTTAAGAGGATTGCTTTAAGACCGTTGAGTTTTTCATTGTATTTATACTGAAGGGTATCAATCATTTATGGACTCGAGTCATTTGAGGTATCGAATAAGTTTACTGTTTTCATAAGAATGACGCATAATTTGCTTTATATTAAACAAATGTATATTAGTGTTTATCCGATGCTTTGGGTTTGCGTGCGTACAAAAAAAGATACTCTAAAACAAAAGCGGTAGAGGCATTTGTTCAACTGTTTCAAAAAACTGAAGAGGTAAAATAAATATATAATCTGTATTGCCCCTACAATACCACACTGTAACTTCATAGACAAAAAAATACAGATGGAGCCGACCTCTTAAACCGTAACAAAATTGTGCGCAGATAAAATATCCATAAATCTATCCCAAAAACTTATTAATATTAGTACCATAACCATTTTACGATTCAATAAACGTTATACTCAGCGAACTCAGTCCTAGTTTTTGATATTTCCATTCCGTTTGTCGGAACTCATATTAGCGTATATTATGTGCTCTTACAACATATTTTAGTGGGTCATAAGATCTTGGAAGGCAGCCAGAGTTGATATATTCCCTTCTTACTTCCGCCCTATTAATCATAATTCAATGATTGTCCGGTTTTCGCAATAATCAGTTTTATTTGATTTATAGTTTCGATATTTTTTTATTATTATCGAGTTATCGAGTTCGAAGATTTTATGATAAAAGAGCAAAAACAACTTCAAACTTGGTGAATCGCAGCAGGGAGCGGATCTCTTTTTATCGTTAGAATTAGATTTTTTTAGAAAAATATAATCAATATATTACTCTGTGTTGCAAAAATCTGTACAAATTATAATTAATTAAAAAGGAGTACAACGGGTCTTATCGCGTTCGAACGATCTCTTACAGGCAACATTTTATGGAAAAATACAATTATGTAGATATATAATGTTAGTGCAAAAAACGACATAAGATATAAAATAACTTAAACATAAAGACAACAAATAATTTGTTTCATTTCTTTTGTTTAAATAAATTAACGTTTAATATTTACTCGGAAAATGTGTGATAGTAAATAAATTATAATAAATTCTATACATTAAGCAATGATACATCTTGATTGATCTCGTGTGTGATATACAAGAAAGAGTTAGAAAAAGAGATTTACAATTTCTGGACATAGCTATAAAATGACCCAATTTAGATCCAATAACTTATAATAATAAAGTTATACTAAAAGCTTAATATTTAAAAATTGAAGTTATTACATAATCCTTATATGTCCTCTAGAGAACACTAAACTTTGAAGCGAGTCATTTCGAAACAATTCCTCTTTGAGATTTCCCAGCAGGCGCCGCCTTGCAAATAGTTCATATAGGTAGAGAACACGAAAATTGAATCTAAAAAGTATAAGCTTTGCAAAAATTAGCTAATACGAATTATTTTATCATTTACATCATTAATCCAGTGGAGCTTCAAACCTTTATGGGTCTCAGATTGGGAAGACATGTCTCCTCATTGGCCTTCGTATGAGTAAATGTTGATGCGCTCATAAAAGTCATTTGACGCACAGCTGAAGTTTGAACACCTCGGGTGGGAGTCGCTTTAGCCAATACCACTTTCGCATTTAGAAAGTTAAATTGCTTGGTATAACACGAATTACAATATTTAATTAAATAAGAAATTAAAATTCAATAAATTATGTGACGGTGGAACAGAAATTGGTCACAATTTTCGGTCCACGAAGCGTCGATATTCGTAACAATAATATTATAATTATTGGTTTATTAAGATATAGGTACAAAGTGCGACAGTAGACCTGTATGTGACGTCTGTGGCAAGTTAAAATAAGTATGATTTATCTCCATCTTAAAACAAAAGTTTGATTCAGTCACATCAGTATCCCAGTGTAGACGTTCAGCTTGCCCTGCTGCAAATATAAATATTGTTTTTTTTTAAATTATTTATTGAGATAGATTAACAGCTTATTACTAACTTACTTACTAAATACAATGTTCTTTTACGCCAATAAATAAATCTTTACAAATAGTTAAGTACTAATAATATTAACTGGATTGGTTACAAGAAAATAATTGTATTCCACTATATAAATATATATCAAAGAAAGTAATAAACTAAGTAAAAATTGGAAAAATATTAAATATATCTATTACACAATCTCTGAAGAAAATTCGTTCATATAAACAACGCTCATCTAGAAGCACGCACCCCTTCGTTGTCAACATTTGGTTCGTCGTTTCTTATAAAAAACAGCAAAGGAGTGGAAGTGTGAATTCCTTGCCCCCTTCCATATTCCCTAGACAGTATAATATGGGTTCATTTAAGCGGCAGTTAAACAGGCATCTCCTGGACAGGCAAGCCCTCCAATAGGCCAAATCTCACTTAACATCAGGCGGATTTCTGGACAAATGTCTGACCAGTTCTGTATTAAAAAAAAATATTTGTATTTTCATAAAATTCTTGTAAATTATATATATAAAGACTTCGTTATTCTTTTGTTTAAAAATCACCTACAAACCTCTGATTGCTTAAAATCAAGTCAACTTTTGCTTGATTTTAAATTCTAAAATCTCAGTCACAGATTTACCCTCTTAAGGCACACATGAAATTTATATAGGCCTCATTACAGTAACTAAAGACTGCCCATTAAGGGGCCGACTCACTCGTTAATTTTAATTGGAAATTCATACTTTAACATTACACTAAAACGTTTTTAACTGAAACAATTTCGTGTTAAACTTTAATGATTGCCCGCAAAATAGGCATTGCAAAAATGTAGTCTTGGTGATTAAAAGGAAATGGCTAAAAAAATATT